TCGTCTTCAACCTCCAGCAAACCCTAGGTTCTGAAAACCCTAACCATGCACGAATTTTACACTCCTCTGTTCTCCCTTGCCTCTCCATGAATTCCCTCGATGCAAAGAGCAAAGTTTCTCTAAATTCTTCCCTCTACACAGCCATGTCCATAATTCTTTCTAAAACTCAACCATAAATTGAACCCGATGAGTATAACAGCTTGGATCCATCAATATCACCTGTCATCAACCATCTCAATTCTCTCCAATCTTTACCCTAACCTAATCTACACCTTATGCTGATCAATTTGAGCTAAGGATCCAAGATTATCATGCATTATCCTATGAGTTACAAGCTCCAACAGTTTTGACACACCATTAACAACCTTCATGAAACCTCTTCAAACTTGGTGAAATTCATCATCTAACTTATCTTAACCATTCTATGCTAACAAATCACTAACATGCTGGCTAAATTAAGCAATTCGAATGGATATACCAACCTGGTTTGATGAGGAAAACAGCTATGGAATTCTCTTGATCTAAGGCTTGCAATGATTGGAACTTGATCCACACACTCAATTCTTGATTCTGTATGCAGAAATTCTGACTCAAACCTCTTGGATCTTGTGATTGAAACTTTCTTGCTTCTTGGATGATTAACTTGTATGGCACGAGTTCTCCTCAAATCAACCAAATGCTTGTGTGAATTATGATCTATGGATGATGGTAATGATGATCAGATCAAACAAAATGGAAATTGATAGAGATTTGAGAGAGTTTGAATTGATTTTGCAAAATGGAAGAATTGTGTATAACTTGTGTTTTGAACAAAGTGATTCACCAACCATGGCATGAAGCTCTTCAATTCAATATATAGATGAGATTAGAAACTCCTAGAACCTTGGAGAAACTTCCCATGCACACTTTCCCTTGGATTTGGATTATGTAACTTTCATTGTAAGTAACCATGCATAACTCCTAAATCTTGAACCAAACTCAAAATTCTACTTTTGCCAATGTTCTTAAAACATTTTTTCCAATCAAAATGACCTATAATTTCACCTCATTTGGCCAAACTATGAAAAATCTCAAATTTAGGTCATTTTTTATTCATTAAATCCACCAATTTTGAAACCTTGTGCTATGAGTCTTTCCAATCTTTCATGGTAACTTTTCTAGACTCAAAATGTCATTTGGAGCAAGTTTTATGTTGTGAAGTTTTTCATTTGAAGCTTCCTTGTATGAATTTTGGGCATAGGCTTGGAATGACCTGTAATTCTTAGATGACCAAAATACCCTTTGCTTGCCAAGACCATAAGTAGAGTTACACAAATCATATGAAGGCATGCCATACCATTCTAGAAAGCTAAGACAATGAGGAACAACTCTTATGTTGACCAGAAATTCATTTGAAATCTCCTTGAGGGGTAAAAATTGCTTGGAAGACAAGTAACTTTCACAGACAAAATTTCAGATACCCCAGATGACCTGTAACTTGCAAGGACCATAACTTGAGTTCTATAAATATCCTTGATGTCTTCCACCACTAAAATTAAATGTCTTGAGATCCTCTACAAGTTTCATGTTGGCCAAGTGTAGCGGTAAAAATCGTGAGTGTAAGTTATTGACTAACTTAACTCAAAGAAAACAAGAGTCGCCACCGCACTTTTATTTTATCCAAATAAAGGAAAGGAAAAAGAGCGAACAAAACCAAAGAGTTCTAAAATAAGAACACGAGACAGAGATCGGGGTAAGGGGGTTGGTTACGCAATGGGAAGGTGTTAGCACCCAAAACGTCTATAGTACTCTATAGGAGCCCTTTGAAATATTTATGCTTTTTGGTTTGAAAGTGGTTTGTTTAAAAAGAGATTGGGGAGATGAGAGGAGAATTATTTTTTTTATATTTTTGTGTTTGGAGAGACTTATCGTCTCATGCCTACGTACCCATAAAGTGCAATATGGAATCAAAACCCCGTAGTTCGTGGTACAAATGACAAAATTTTGTTGGTTTTGATTGATTTTAGATGTTCAAACAAGTCGTCATTTCAAGGAGAAAACTGCGACTATCCACCCACGAGTATTAAGACAACATCTGCGTCACATAAAGATGGAGGATTTGCTTGGATTATCAACAAGACTATCACTCAACATCAACGTGGAAAATGTCAAAGTCTTAATAATATGGGGAATAGGAGATTTACATCTCAACTATAGAAATGAATCATGTCTAAACTTTATGAAAAAAAGTTTTAAAGTGAAAAAGTGCATAAAGGCACAAAAAAGAGTTGATGAGTTTTTGTATTTTTTATGTCTTTTGAAATTGGTCAAAGCATGATTAACATTGATTGACTTTTATTAAGAAAAACAAAGTTTAAAAATCTCTTGACGAAAGTCAAGGTTTTATTGCGAAAGCGATTTTGAAGTTTGAAACCAAGAAGGTTTTGAAAGAGGGAGAAAGTTTTGAAAATTTAAGAAGGGGAGGAGATGAAGTGACTATCCTAAAAAAAAACAAAATAAGAGCTAGAGATAAGAAAGATCTAACCGACTTGTGGCACACTCCAAAGCAAGCAAAAAGAATTCCATCCGATTTAAAGTATAAGCCAAGGATCGAGCCAAATAAAGGCTAAGATTCAAAATACTCCAAGCATAGGGAAGAAAGTCCTAATCCTAAGTCCAAAATGTCCATGAAGTCCAAGGTCTAAGAATGGTCCAAGAGTATAACCACAAAGTTAATAGCACCAAATTTTTAGATGTTTTATCCTTTATTAATGTTTTGAACAAGATATGGTCCAAGTGGACAAAAGAAAAATGACATAAACATAAACAAAGATATGGTATGTAATGATAAAATGGAAGCATAAAAGTAAAAAAATAAAGAGTAAGAAGAGAATATAAACAAAAATTAAACAAGGATATTGTTAGTGAATTAGTGGTTAGTGGTTAGAACATATGATCAATGATGATTAATTCTTGCACTTAGACCAAGATTAATGAAAATTCATTAGAGGATTGATAGAATCAAAGCCTCCTAACAATGATTTTCATAGGTATTGGAGTTAAGACAAGCAACTAAACATACTTGGACTTTTAAACGTAAGTTTGAGCCACGAATGATCATTTTCCGATTAAGGGACACTTTAGCGCTATGTTAAGCAATCGTAATCGGGTTTATGTAGAAACCACGACTATCTGAGGCCGGTCAATAAAATGTTAGTGTTAATACATGTTAGAGAAGTGATATGTAAATCACTCTCCTAAAACATGCCACACAAAAAGAAAAGAGGTAATGATCTCATCATAATCAAGATTTTTAATTAATTAATCAAAGGTAATCTGTCACTATTCCAAAGTAAGGAGAATTATCTCAATGATTATTCGTCCATAGTTTTGAAATAATGAAGATTAATCAACCTTGATAATCAACAATCTATGATCCATAGATTTCATCGATCAAAAATAAAAAGAAGAAAAAAAGAAAATGAAATCACAATTTGAATCTCGAATCGATTAAATTATCGTCAATATCAATCACCTCTCTTGGTGGATAAAATCAACACCCAAAGTCCATTGATATTGATGAAATCTTATCAACATCAAGATCCAAAACAATCAACACTTAATCAAAATATTTTTAAAAAAAATTTTAAAAGCTTTTTCAGAAATGAAATTAAAATACAAATTTAATAATAAAAGAAAAATGTGGAAAAATCCACATAGTTAAGAAATGAAAAAAAGAAAATAAAAATAAACAAATAAAAGAAAAGTAATATTGAAAAATAGAAAGAGAAAACGAAACAGAGAAAGAGAAATAGAAAACCAAAGTATCAGAACAACTTCTTCTTCAAAACTTCACGCGACACCGTTCACCATGGCTATGAATTCAAGCTCAAATCAAAGCGACGGGATGCAAAATTAACACGGTTGCAATCGAAATCAAGAGCTCTTCACAATGGTACCAACAATTCAGAGAATCACAACAAAAGATAACGGATCGAAAATGACGGTGAAGCTCAATCTACCTTCAAACTCAGGTAAGAAATCAATCCAAACTTCTTCTTGCTTCTCTTCTTCTTCTGAATGAATCTCTGGTTCAATTGATCTGTGTTTGAGGTTGATTTGAAGTTAATTTGGTGGAATGAAATATGAGAAGAGAATGAACGAAGGTTTTTTTTTCTGGTAGTGAGGAATTGAGGAAGAAAATCAGCAGAGATTTTTTGGCTTGAAAAGCTTGAAGAATAGAGTGAGGGATGAATTCTATTTATAGATGAGAATGAGTGAAAAATGATTTGCAGTTTGTGAGAATTTTCTGCCGTTTTGAAGTAGGTGTCTTGTGCGTGATATTTTTTGCTGGCATTTGACATGTCGTTTTTGCAATTTTTCTCTTTGTAGCTCATTACATGTTATTCTTTCTTTTCACTTTTCAACTCACTTGGGTGACGTGGATTGCTTTTCAACTGGCTCACATGCTACTTATTTTTGCTGCAGCTTGTGAATATGGCTTGGTTCATGGCTGGATGAGCTTTAGATACAAATACAATAAACCATTCCCTTTCATCATTCTGGACAATTAGTTTCAAGCGTGGTTTAAGGATGGTTTTAAACTCATCAAGATCCTCACAGGTAACAAGCACGACAGTTGCATATGGCTCACGAAACCAGAACAGCAACTGCTCCTGAGGAAACCGGCTACGAAGCCTTGAATCTGTAGTTAATATGAACTCCGCCGACAACTTCTTAACCAATACAGGGTTCCTCGCCTTGTTATTCAAACTTGCTCTCTTGAACGGCAACCGCGCCTCAAAAGCAGGCTTGACAGTTGGCCGCAAATCACTCACATCCTCCACTGAAATGACGAGGCGATCGGAAGAGTTCTTGATGGTTTGGAACTGGGAGAGGAAGTTGGCCATGTTGGATCTGTAGAATATTTAGCAGAGATACATGGAATGGGAATCAGAGAGAGAAGTGCAGTGCATTGAGTCTACGCGTATAAACTACCATCGGATTCTGGAGAATACAGTTCATGACTCTTGTAAAAGGATCTCATAAATGTCGGTTCTCAGATTAAGTTCTTTATCCCGCATTACTTCCTGTAGATCAGAAAGCTCTTTTCCAGTGAGGATAGAGTTTAGTTTGAGAAACCCATCCAACCATAGTCGTTTCGACCAGGGGCAGGAATGGATAGCTCGAAAGAAAATACGTCGAGCTGCTGAAGGATCATGTGCAATGTTCAATTCATACCCAATGTAGCAACGCCACAGTACAACTGAGCTGCAAAGCATATCATTACCCACTGCCCTTTCAAACAACCCTCGGATTCTGTGGTGTGAACCACCTCTAGACATCTCGTATGACAATGCAAAAAGCCAGACAACTACAGACGGTTTCTTGTAACTACATTCATCTAGGATCCACCGCAATTTATTAGATGTTGTGTGAAAGTGGCCAACCTCCACTACACCTTTTAAGAGTTCTGGACTGAAGGGATACATTTGGAGGCCCCGATAGATGGATTCCCATACTTTTATCAGACTAGATTTCTTCTGATGTCTCTGAAGCATCCTTAAACAAATATTCAAGTTGACAGCTATGGCTTCTCCTTTCTGGAAGCACCATTGTAAAGGCTTGATCTAAAACTTCAATGCCCGCATCACATCCAGTAGTTAGCTCCTCAAACAATGCAGCAGAACATACCAGAGCGACAGATTGGTCATTTATAATGCCACGAAACCATGATGATCCTACTGTTCTCAGTTTTTCTTTAAACCCTTGACGTGCTCTGAGCAGTTGCAAACTTGATGCTTGACTTTTAAATGGACTGTATTTTGTACCACTGCCTAAGCAAGATAGTAAATGTGTAGCACGATATGAAGATTCACGGCCATCATCAGTTTTATTCGCAAGCTCCACCTCAGCATACCAGAAATATAGAAGAGGTGCATTGGACTGTATTTTGTACCACTGCCTAAGCAAGATAGTAAATGTGTAGCACGATATGAAGATTCACGACCATCATCAGTTTTATTCGCAAGCTCCACCTCAGCATACCAGAAATATAGAAGAGGTGCATTGGACTGTATTTCCTCAGGAAGCCCTTCCACAGATAACAATGCCATGTCAAACACCTTTCTGGCAAGATCAATATTACCATAATTAGCCTCTCTTCGTGCATATACACCACATAACAATACATCCTGTCTATCACTTTTTAAGAGAGACTTTGCTAAAGCTTGACATGGTGTAACAGCACATTTAGAAGAACTCATTTTAGTAACATAAAGCTCTTCACAAATCAGAACCGCTTCTTCCAAATAGTGATTACGCGGAAAAACAGTTAAACAAAGTAATACTGCATTCTGAACAAATTTCATCATATCACCATTCATCGTGAAACTTCCTAATAGGACGTCAAAAGTGAAACCAGTAGGAATGTTCTGTGCTTTTGTCAAAATGTTATGGATGCATTTCAGCTTCTCTAGCATAAAATCTGGCAGATCCTCCAAGCTAAGGGTGTTCTCTGTCCAAGTTGGACTGTTTGTGCAAAACAATTAAGACATCTTCCCACCATAGAAGTCAATGAATTGGGACACCAAATATATTTGAGATTCTTTTGTGTTCAGGGTGAAAAGATACTCATTTAAATCTTCATACAATATGATTCTCGAGAGTTGCTCGTCCTCTTCTGTTTTGAGTGCTTCACTAGTAGATGAGGCTGTATCTGACTTCCTTCGAACAGGCATCCACTGATCATAATCTCTAGAAGACTCTTCTTCTGACCATTTGATCCAGGTCAAAGTGTCATTAACTTCACCACCATCTCCAGCACTAATATCAATTCCCAACGACTTTAGCAAATTTTCAGTATCATCTTCGGGCTCAACATCTTCATATTCATCCTCGTCTTGATTATCCTCCATAACCAAATCATTGTCAGATTCAACTTCAAAATTGGTGACACCCTCCTTATCTTTAGACAATGGTTCTGACCAACCAGTCCAACCTCCGCCTTCATTTTCATGTGAGAGATCCTCTTTAATGACCCTTTGTCTAGTTTCCTCCTCTTTCTCCAACCATGTGGACCAACCGAGAGCTCCTTCTTCTCCGACTCTAGCACCGTGACTATTCCAAAAATGCTCAAACAGTCTCTGCTTACTCTGCTCTGTCAGTAGCAAAGGTGGACAAAACAAGCTAAACTCAATTTCAGCCTGAAATAAAGCAGTGGCAACTTCTCTATAACCAGCCTGCCATTCAAATCTGCAAAGACTGAGAAATATATCCACAAGACGAAATTCTAGCTGAATAATTGCAGGATCTGGTGAAGAATCGGGAGCTTGATGAGCCTGCCTAGAGTGCTTGCTGCATGAAGCGGACAGAGCTTCAATAGCATGGACATACATCTTCCTAACCACTGAAACCTTGAATTTGGAGAAATCTCTCTGAACAACATGCAAGAATTCACTCCATAACTTGTAACTTCCAGAATGCTGCAGAAGTATCTTCTCCCATCTTCCAATTAGCACATCTGAGCTATCTCTTGTTTGGTAAGCTTTTAAAAGGAAAAGTAATAGATCTTCATTCTCTGGGTTGAGCTCAACTGCCTTCTCCAGGATGCTTATTTTCTTTTCAAGTAATTGCAAGCGAGCACCTTTTTGTCGTTGCATTCTTGCAACCTTGTCTTGGAACTCAGCAAAAGCTATCCAAACTTTTTCATCATGGGGGTGCTCCCTTGTTAGTTTGTTGAACTCCCTAGTTTTATTTAACATTTCATCCTCCCAAGATTCTTCAAGTGTCGATGAAATTTTAGAGTCGGATTCACTGTCAACAGCGCCATGAGATGTACCAACATCTGATAAGGGTATATACTCATCGTGGGCTGTATGAGGAGACAATTTTGGAGCAACAAGACGAATGCGCTTGAAGCTTTTATGTTGTTCTAAAGCCATATACTTTCCAGACCAGTATCGCCCAGAAGACTTCATTTTATCATCCAAAGCATCAATATCGCCATCTCTTTCACCTAGTGAACCACTTTGATTCCACGAATACAAACCTTTAACATGTCGCCCAGACATATTCAAGGGATTGTACGGTTTGTGTCGGGCAACATCCATTCTGTAGATACACCCAAACGCGAGATTATCACGGTCACCGTGAGAATCGAAGTAATAATCTTTGGCAGTGTTAGCCTCAGAATCAGCCCAAGCTCGAACACGCGACTTTCTTGAACCATAACCGTCAAATCCACTTCTCTCATCTGACCGATCACGCTTCATCTAACGTCAAATACCTGTAGTTATCAAGATTCATTTTTTCTTGGCCAACATATCCTTCAACCTCCCGGGTGTGGCAACAACCAAATGAACCCCCTTCTTGACAAATCTCAAGCTGCGATCTCATATCAATTCTACCGATACAAAGCAAAGGCCTGAGCTCTGGATATCCAGCTTCCTTCAAAGGCAACAAGAATTGTTCAATGACTTCATACGTTTGCCTAGCCAATTCCCTCGACGGACAAATAATCAGACCAAACGGACCTTCCCCAGGAACTAAAGGCATCATAATCTCCTCCTGCATAAAACTCTTCGACAATTTTCCTTCCACACGGGTTGGTAGCTTCCCACCTGCTTGAGGATTTCCTAACTGGCCATAGACAGAATTTCCCATTGCCTAGACACAACCTCCATTTAGACATTTGTATTTGGACTTTGGACTTTGACAAATATCTTGTCTTGTTGAACTCTTGACAACTTTAAATGAATGCCTTAAATTTTCAAGTAACTTGTATTCCAAGCAAGCCATATGCATGTTTCTTCCAAACTTAACTTGAATCAAATTCTTGAACAAAACAGATTCTTAAGAAATTTATGGTGATGTGAACCCAAAGATCAATACCCTCAATCATGCTTTAGAATCATTGGGAAATAACACACTTAAATGAACACTTTGTACTTGCATTCCAAAACAAACATCTTGATTGAACATCCACCAAACTTGACTTGTACAGACAAAACTCTTAATCTTCGATTAAAACTGGAATAAAACTTCTCATAAAACACTGCTCGACAAACTGATGATTCTCCATAAGACCACTTGACCTTGAACAATCATCTCTTGAAAAAAAAAAAAAAAATAGACCACTGATACAAAACTTGCAAATGAAGTAATCCCTTGATAGTTTGACCAAGATGAGGTCAAACTTCCATCTGATTTAGACTTGAATGAATGTCCTTGCCATTAATCTCCTTGCAAAACCCTAAACACACAAAGAAGAGGAAACAAGCAAAAATTGCAAAATATTTTTTGGTATTTTGGTTAGATGTTAGTAAACAAAAATAAACATAAAGAAAGTAAGAAACCCATAAGGGTGCAAAAGCTAAAAATATGACCTTGGTTGTGGAATGGCGTGCCAATGAAATGTGGGATCTTAGGGGTAAAAATTAGGGTATTACACCAAGGATCCATTTGAAGCTTGCATTTTGACCTATCTTGCTTGGAAATTTGACCTAAATTAGGGGATTTTACACAGGAACCCTAATTTAGAAACTCCTCTTCTCCTTGATTTCTCTTGATTTCTCCTTGACACAACACCATATCCTTATTCTTCCTGTCAAATGATGAACCCCACATCTCTCAAATAGCCCTCAATGCCTTTCAATCAATCCTTTGACCTAGAGTTGACCCAGGGTTGACCCAGATGAAACCCTAGTTGACTGTCTTCAACTGCAATTCTTGTGATCACACCAATGACTTGTATCCTTATCCAAATGACTTTCTAAGTCTACCATGATGTCTAGATACTCTCCATGCTCAGCCCATAGCTCACAATTTCTTTGATGATCCCCAGATACCCTCAGATAGGAGATAGATGCACTGCTTGAGCCATTGACTTCTTAGCTTTCAAATTCTTTCTGATAACTTGAATGAGATTGGATGTGAATAGTATCCTCTTGATAGGCTCATAGAGATGAGAATAATGCTTGGTCCCCTGTTGGATGACTTGCTATGCTATGCTATGCAGATGATTAAACTATGTACATGACTCTATATGCAAATGCTAATGATATTGAGACATAAACCAAGTGAATAAGGTTGAGCAAATTTCAGGGTGCAACAACTGCCCCTATTCAAGCGACTTGGACCCGATTGGGTGAAGAGAGAACGGCCTTCAAACATTCGAGGTACAAGACGGTTGAATACTAAGAACCCGGAAATTTGCCAACCACAGAAATAAACTGCACAACTGCTTGGGGAACGACATTCATCAACTGAATCTAACTGTTACGGCAACCAACTGATTGGATTAGTGACGTGCTGGGGATTATTTTCGTCAGCCTGAAAAAGATCCTATCATCAAAAAACTTGTCCACGTTAGGACTCCTGTGTTGTCACCACCAAGGAAACTCAACTAAAACTTGTCCACGTTAGGACTGCACCTGCCGTTAACCCGGGAAATCTCGGCGACCTCACTGGGGGTAACTCGTCTGCCTTTCAT